CCCCGAACTGCAGGGTCGTCTCGGGTGAGGGGTGGGCCCCGACTTCCCCTGAGTGCCTTCTCCTCGCCCTGCCCACCCCTGAAGCCTGTGACTCAGTTCCCCGCAAACTGAGGTATGACATGCTGGGTTGGGTCTCATATCAAAATGAATCCTAAGTTGGCCAAAGGGCAAATGTTTAAAAATAACCATGAAGTACCAGAGAGGGCAGGGGCTCCCAAAGCCCCAGTCAGGAGGACTGATCCCCTCACATGAGATGCAGATCTCTACACGGCAAAGCTGCTTTAAGCAAAGACAAGAGTCAAACAGCAAACAAGGACGAATATTTGCAAATATTCAGGGGTTGGAGCCTTCCTATGTAAAGAGCCTGCACAAATAACTAAGACAAAGTCCAACAGCCAGATTTTACAAAAATGGGCCGAGGATATAAACAGTTTACAGAACAAGGAGGGGAAACAACAGAAAGTGTCACTTGCCTTGTGATAGGGGACAGGCAACTGCGAGACGCAGAGTTTCTCTTTTAATTAGAGATTCTCAATGATGCCCAGGTTTCCTAACACAGGCGTGCTGGGAGGGGTGGGTGGGGCCACCGCGGGGGTGTAACTTGCACTGACACCGCCATCTGTCCATAGAAACAAGGTGGCAGGCAGCCCACCCGTCCACCAACGGGGGTGTGAGCTCCAGGGGAGGCGCCAGTCACACACACCGCCGCTGGGGGGACCCACAAGGGGCAGGGGGCAGGCCACCCACAGAGGAGAACACGAAGATGGTTCCTCCCCCCGGTCCCTCCCTTTTCCTTTTGACTCTGCATGTGTGACCCACTCCCCTCCCCAAAAGGGAAAATCAAAGTAAACTATTTATTTATTGTTAGAGAGGGGAAGAGAGGGAGAAAGAAAGGGAGAGAAATATCAACGTGTGGTTGCCTCTCACACACCCCCTACTGGGGACCTGGCCTGCAACCCAGGCATGTGCCCTGACTGGGAATCCAACTGGCAACCGTGTGGTCTGCAGCCCAGGCACAATGCACTGAAGCCACACCAGCCAGGGCAAAATAAACTATTTAAATGTGTGTGTTTGAGTTCCCACTTCCGTTGTCAGTCCCAGAGGTTCTGGCCTGAGGCCTGAGGTGAGGGCCCCCAGGAGATTCTGCAGGGCTGGGGGTGAGGTTGCCACCTCCTTTGATGTCAGCCCCTCCCACAGGGCATCTGCTGGCCTCCAGGAAGTCTGGGCACCCCACAGAGGGCCCCCAAACTCTGCAGCTGTCCCAGGGGCAAACGTGAGGAGATGCTGCCACCCTCTGGTAGATGAGGAATACACTCAGCCTGGGGGTCCCTCCGGGGCCCACGTTCCTTGGGGTCCGGGGCTCACTGTGCGAGTCCAAGAGACTCACACTGGCGTCTGAATGCGTCCTGTGTCTGTGGGGCCCAAGTGCCAGGCCCATCCCAGCCGACCCGGGCAGTGGGCGGGGCTGCAGGTTCTTCCCCAGGATGTCTGGTAAGACCACCCCTCCCCCTGCTCCCACCCCCGCCCAGGGAAAAATGTGTCCTGACAGCCCTCCAGCCCCAGGGGCTCCCCAGGACAGACAGGTGAGGAGGGTCCCCACAGGACGAGAGGAGCCAGAGCAGGCCGTGCTGGAAGGGGCACACCCTGACCGGGGCACACCCCAGCCAGGGCACCTCCTCCTGGCTTCCAGCCCCCGCCCGGCCTCCAGCCCTGCCCAGAGCTCAGGCCCAGCCAAACACTTGGAGCAGACGTGGTGGGGACCAGAGGGCCACGCCACCCACTCTGAGCCCTGCTGCTGCTGCACCATGGGGTCCACGCTGCCAGGGCCTCCCGCACTGCACCCCGTGAGGGCCGCTGCCCCGGGGACACCCACAAACACAGGCGCATGCGCTCAGGTGCTCGCAGCCGGACCGGACCCCCAGAAGCCACTCCCCACCCGGAACGTCCGGGAGCTGACGGCGGCCGGGACGGCACGCTGACGCTCCGCCTCCCACACCTGGCACGGTCTTCCGCCCGACCCCGACCCTGACCCCCAACCCGGGAGCGAGGACACACACAGCCCTGGGCACAGAGCCACGGCTCCGCCTCCCGCGCCCTCCCGACGCTTTCTAGGAGTTGTGTTTGGTTTCTTAGGTTGTTTCTTTCCCCCAAAAGCCTCCCACTGCCTTTCGGGAAAACTCCAGGCTCCTCCCCGCGCCCCGCCCCGCAGCCAGGCGGGCTGCTCGCTGGCGGCACAAAACCTCCTGTAGTTCCCCGTCTGGGGGCCTGGACGGCAAGTCCAGGGCGGGCAGCTGGCCCCCCTCCGAGGCTCCGGGGGAGGGTCCCTGCCGTTTCTGGTGGCCCCGCGCCACCCCGGCGACGGCCCCCCGCCACCTGCTGCTCCTCCTCCGTCGCCTGTGCTGTGTCCAGATGTCCCTCTTCTCAGGAGGATACCACCGTGACCTCCCCGTGCCCCTCACACCTGCACTGGCGGGTCACGGGGCTGGGACTTCAACGTGTCTTGTCGCGGACACGATTCAACCCGAGACTCTCGTTAGCGAGGAAGCAGCGAGATGTCACCACCCAGCTGGAAGGCCGCCCCGGACCACGAGACCGACGCAGGCAGTCAGGGCCCGAAATGACCGGTCAGCAGACACGAAGCTGGCCGAGGCCCAAAGAGCGACCGTCAGTCGCTTTCCACTGGACTAAATGGATTTGCGTTTCCGTGAAGAATTGTTTGTGTGACCATCAATTCTCTGCAATTAGAGAGCATTAAAACAGTTCAAAAATGATGACAGGAAATCTGAGAGGGCAAGCCGGCAGCTAATGTTTTTGACACGTCGAAGCCTCTTGCGATTTGCCCGCACAGAACCCCGAACACCCACACAGGCGGAGAGAACCGGACGCCGTGAGGGCACCGCCGGCTCCGCCGCTGTCGCCGTCCACCCGGCACCCGGGACCGTGGGGCCGCCTCAGAGCCAGCCCCCACGGAGACCACGCCCTTCCCCTCGCGCAGGGGGGAGTCGTTTTTAGGGGGTTTAGAGAGAGAAAGGCGCTGCCCCTCCTGGACGGCAGGAGACCCCGTCGGGCAGCCAGGGACGGCCGGAAAGAAGGGACCAGGGCGGCAGGAGGACAGAGCCCAGCACACGCGTGCACATGCAGATGCAGGCATGCACACAGCACTCCCACACGCACACATGCGCACACACACACACACGTGCCCAGCAGGCCCCTCCCAGACTGACCCCGTGGTGCCCTCCGGCTCCGGCCTCCTGTGCTGCCCCCTCAGACCCAGGCTCCTCTCCACCCTCCAGAGACCGGCTCCTCTGCCACTTCAAAGCGTGGGGTTTGGCCACGCTGCTGCCCCTGCCCACTGGGCAGGAACCCCACGGAGGCTCCCCCCGAGGGGCGTCTGTCCCCACCCAGCCGGCAGCTGAGACTCCAGCTCACGTCTCCCAACGACGATCTCGCCACCTCTCCGTCCTCAGGGACGCCGGCACCCATCCCTGCCCTCCGAGCCCCACGCTCCCCGCCGGCGACCTCCCCCACCACGCGGGGGTGGCACTGGCTCCAGTCCCCAAAGGCCACCCACTGCAGCCGCAACACCTCTGTCCACCTCCTCCCCAGCAGCCAGGATGACATGTCACTCTGCCCAGAGTGTCTGCACTGCCCCCCCTCCCCCCCCACCGATACAGCCCCAGTGCCGCCCCCTCCCAGCACTGCGGGGTGGGGGCTTCGGTGAGGCAGCCCTCAGGCCTCGCCCCACCAAAACTCACAGCTCCCTCCCCCCGGTGTTCCCCTCCCCAGAAGCACAGCTCAGAGGCCACCTCCTGAGAAGCCTGCGGTGACCCCCATCGGGGCTGGCTCCGCACAGACCTGGCCCCAGGGTGACAAACATCAAGCCCGGGGCAGAGCTCCTTGGGGGAAGGGACCCACTAGGGCCTGACCCTTCAGAGTTCCCAAACCACCAGGCCTGGGGCTCTGCCACTGGGCCCCCTTTTGGGGGCATCTGCTTATTCTTCGGGGAGGGCGCTGAGGGGCCTGGGCTGGGGTCACAGATGTCCCTTCCCTGCCCCCAGTCACCCCTACGCCCTGTCCTGGCCCCACTGCTGCAGTGCTCAGGGCTGGCCACTGGGGGTCAGCATTGGGCTGCACTGTGCAGAGCCAGCCCACGGGAGCTGGAGGGGACCACCTGGCTGCCGTGCTGCATTTTGTAATTAAGGTGTGTACATTGTTGCTGATTTAGACCTCGCCCTTGCACACTTAATAGACTACAGCACAGAGAAACATATACACAGGGAAACCAGGAAACTCCACTGGGAGACTCGCTTCCTCTGGACCAGCCCCCCTCCGTCCCCGCACCCCCAGTCTCAGAGGGGTGCCGGCCACAGGCTGTGGGCCAGGAACCTGAGGGTGGCTTCAGGGAGGGTCTGGAGGGCCGAGGCTCCACTCCGGGCCCCTTGCAGGGCAGTGGGCTGCAGCCCACGGCTCCTACACTCGAGGACACTCTGCAGGGCCACCCGGGCATCTTGGGCAGGGGGACCACGGGGTGCACCCGAGTTCTCTTCATCGGAGGCAGGTCTCTAAGTCCAGCCCACACTCCGGATGTGTCCACTTCTTAAACCCTCAGCTGGTCAGCATAGACAGACGGTTGGTGCCTGGGCAGCGATGGGGGGGAGGTGGTCACAGCCTCTGGGGGCCCCGCTGCAGCCCCTCCACCCGAACCCCCAGCTCCTGAGCACCCTTCTCGCTGCCAAGTGGCCCGTGCTTCCCCAACTTTCTCCTGATGCTAAATTTTTAACGGCAAAGCACCCATCATTAAAACTTGTATGAAACCACACCATGGGCCCTGGCTGGCGTGGCTCAGTGGGTTGAGCGCTGGCCCTGCAAACCAAAGGGTCACTGGTTTGATTCCCAGTCAGGGCACATGTCTGGGCTGCAGGCCAGGTCCCCAGTAGGGGGCGCATAAGAGGCAACCACACATGGATGTTTCTGTCCCTCTCTTTCTCCCTCCCTCCCTCTCTAAAAATAAATAAAATCTTTAAAAAACAAAAACAAAAACTACACCATCATGGCCTGCCAAGCACTTCGGCCCAAGGTTGGCCTCGCCCTCTGCTAGGGTCACCTGCTGGAGGGTCACCTGGGCAAAACTGGGCCCCACAGAAACCACACCCACGTGGGGGGAGCACGGGGTCATCCCCCTGCAGGAGAGAGGTGCCGGGGCTGCTCTTTAGGGAGGACACACTATCTGAACGCTTGCTGAGTAGAAGGTAACAGCCCCCAACTCAAACCGGTCGGCGGGCCCCTGGCCAAAGCTGGGGCCTCAGGTGGGGGGACCTTCCCCTGAGGACAGAGCGGGGCAGGCGAGCAGCCAGAGCAGGGGGAGGCCCACCCACAATCGCACGATCGTCCGGGAGAAGGCGCCCGACGGCCCACCCAGCGGGAGCCACAGACACTGTGGGTGGGCACCGGTCACTGGGGGGCCCCGGAGACGGGCTGAGGCTGGCCGAGAGCCGGGTCACGCTGTCACGCGCACACAGACGTGGGTGGGGGGACGGAGGGGCACGGCACAAGGTCGCACATCTTTGTCTCCGCAGGAAATCGCCGCAACCCTGGCGGCCCCACGGGGCCTGGCTCCGGAAGCTGGCCAGAGTCAGCACTTCCTGCTCCTCACAGGTGCCCGACTGAGGTCAGCTGGCCGAGGGATCAGCTGGCCGGGGGCTGCAGCTCGGCCCACAGGTGGAGGTGGAGTCTTCAATGCTGCGGAGGACCGGAGGACCGTCTGCAAAGTCACCCGGTGCAGGCAGCTTCCAGCGGTGGACTTGGGGGGGCGCTTTTCCGGCAACGGCAGCAGAGAGACTCCGCCCACTAGCATCCCCCAGCCCAGGCCAGCCTCACAGCGGCCTCAGCAGGCCTGCCAGCCCCAGGCCTCACCCCAGCTCTGACACCGGAACCGCCTGGTTTGGCGCCCGGCGCCTGGGCCTCTCCCACAGAAACCGGGAGGCTTGGGAACGAAGCGAGGGCTGAGTCTCCACCGGTGCAGAGCAAACCTGTCCCCATGGCCACCCTGTCCAGGCCACCGAGACCCGAACAGGGCACAAGGTCCGGCCAGCAGCATGGCCGCCGACCTCTGAATTCAAGGAAAGGAAACGCTGCGAAGGAGAAGCCGCAGCAGGACCCAGGGACCCCCAGGCGGGACCCCCGGGCACGACCCTGGCACCAGGCAGTCAGGACCGGGCACAGGGGCCACTGTGCAAACGGCAGACAGAGCAGCCCGCGGGGCCCCACGGCCCCACTCCCACCGCCACGCCGGCTCCACGCACGTGGACGGCCACGTCCCCGGCACAGTGGTCCAGGGTGCTGCTGGGCAGGAAGGGTCCCCGAGGGGAGGCGGAAGCGGAAGCGGGGGGGACAAGGGGGCCGCACCAGCGTGCAGCCCGGGCGAGTCCGATCAGCAGCGCCAGCTCAGGGCGGGTTCCCTGCAGGCATGACACGGCACAGGGGCACGAGGCTGAACACGCACTGTCACGCCTCCACAGGCGTGCCCCCTGGAACAGGCAGGCAGGCAGATGGGAGGCCGTGGAGTCCCGCGACTCGTGGGTATGGTGGCTGAGCTCCGGCCGGGCTCCCCTGCTGGCGAGTTCTTGCACGTCCCCTCCCCCACCTGGCTCCAGGAGGACAGGTGTGGTGTGGCCGGGGTGTGGGGCGGCCTTCATGCTCTGACCTGTCCCATGATGTCACCAGGCCCTCCGGGCCCAGGGAAGCTCCCGGTGGCTGGCGGCACCCGGGGCTCGGGGCACACGTCAGTCTAGAGTGCGGTGACCTGGGTGAGTTCCGTGTTGGGCGTGGACGGGCTCTGCGGGCTGACGGGCACCATGGGCAGGTCCACGCCTAGTCATGCGGGCCGCGGCACGGTCTCGGACGTCTTGCAGGCGAGGGCCACGTCCTTGGCGATGCTGCGCACGCGGTCAGACACCGGCCCCTCCCGGCGCAGGGCGGAGGCGCAGCAGAACTTGCGGAAGCAGGCCTTGAAGTTCTCGTCCAGGAAGGCGTAGAGGACGGGGTTCAGGCAGCTGTTGACGTAGCCCAGGGCGGTGCAGAAGCGCAGCACGGCCACCGCCGCCTCGCTGCCCGGCTGGACCCCCAGCCCCTGGACCAGCACGAAGACCTGCACGGGCGTCCAGCAGCCCACGAACACGGCCACCACCACCAGCACCAGCCGCGTGATGCGGCGCAGGTTCCGGTCCTTCTCCCGGGAGCCCGAGAGCAGGCGGACGCCGCGCAGCCGCCGGATCATGAGGCTGTAGCAGACGGAGATGATCAGCACGGGGATGACGAAGGAGAAGAGGAAGATGCACACGGCGAACAGGGGGCCCCAGTAGTCCTGCGGGGCGGGGATCTCCACCAGGCACTCGATCTCTGTGGGCAGAGGGGCGGGGTCAGGGCGGCCAGGGAGCGCGGCCCGGGGAGGAGCGGCCCCCCGACTGACCTTCGTCCTCCACCTGCGCCGAGCCCATGATGGCCACGGGGACGCCGACGACGGAGGCCAGGGCCCAGATGGCCACGTTGACCGCCTGGGCCTTGCTGGACGTCCGGACATCCAGGGCGCGGATGGGGTGGCAGATGGCGACGTAGCGGTCCACGCTCATGGCGGTCAGCGTGAAGGTGCTGGTGAACATGTTGTAGTAGTCGATGGCGATGACGACCTTGCACAGGGCGTTCCCGAACGGCCAGAAGCCCAGGAGCACGTCGGTGCCCTGGAAGGGCAGCGTCAGCAGGACCAAGGTGTCCGCCAGGGCCAGGTTAAAGATGTAGATGTTGGTAGCCGTCTTCATCTTGGTGTGTCTGCGGGGAGCACAGGGAGGGGCAAGCACGGCTTCCTTGGGCCGCTGGCTGGGCCTGGGGGCCGAGCCACCAGGAGGGGCATCCACCCTAAGGCCTTTGCTGAAAGGCCGAGCCCGGGGACAAGCTGTGTCACAAGCGTCAGGCTCTCCTGGCACACGCCACAGGGCCCCTAGCCTCACGACGGGCGGCTCTGAGGAAGGGGTGGGAGGCGGGGCAGAGCACACGTCGGCTGCTGCGTGGGGCGCAGGGCTGGGAGAGGGGGAGCCCGGCCTCCTCCCTGCAAGTCTCCCCCACAGCCCCTCATGGAGTAAAGGCTGCCCCTGCACCGCCAGATTCCCCGAGGGCCACGGGTTGGGGAGGACACATCACAGGCCTCCCAGACCACGCTGACGTCCCACCACCAAGTCGGGAAACGGTGCCCGTGACGGGGTGGGGCGCTGACGAGGTCTGACTGTGTCCAAGCACCAGGAACAGGCTGGGGAATGGGGTGCTTGTTCCATTAGTCCTCGTGGGGTGAAGGGCCAGTCGTGACAGTCATGGTGGAGGGTGACGGTGGTGGTGGTGGTGGTAATGGTGGTGGTGGTGGTGGTGGTGGTGGTGGTGGTGATGGTGATGGTGGTGGTGATGGTGGTGGTGATGGTGATGGTGGTGGTGATGATGGTGGTGGTGTTGGTGATGATGGTGGTGTTGGCGTTGGTGGTGGTGGTGGTGGTGATAGTGCTGATGAAAGTGATGGTGGCAGTGTTGGCTGTGGCAACACCAGAGATGGGAATGTTCCGTGTCGGGCACACTTCCGTGGGGGTTAGTTCTGCCTCTTCGAGGGGGTGAAGCACAAGCTCAGAGCCTTAACTATGACCCAGCACCAACAGCCACAGTGATGCTGACGGCGGGCTCCTGAGCCAGGCTCCTCACGTGGATTTTACCAAATTTAAGTTTCCCAAGGTGCTGTTTTGACCTCCACGCTACGCAGGAGGACGCGCAAGGCCAGAGCCGGTGAACAGCAGAGGGTCAAGGAAACGAGAAAACCAGCACAGAGAAAAAAATTTCCAAAGACACACATGGTCCAGCACTGTTACCCAGAACACAAAGAACTAACACGCAGTGGTAAGGGAGCAAATGACCGGGTGAAGAACAGGCTAACACCTGAGCAGGCCCTCGCCCAGGACGACACGCAGGTGGCACCTGAGCGAACGGGAAGACGCGCCCGTCGCACGTCACCAGGGACGCGCAGACTAAATGTGACGCCACCGCACCCGTCGGAGCGGCCGGGCCCCAGAGCACAGAGACACCCAGCACCGGGGACGGGGAGCCTCGGGGATGCTCAGGCTCCGCCGGTGGTGGGCAGGTGGGGGGGCAGGTGGGCACAGGTGGGGAGCAGGTGGGGGCAGGTGCTGCTGTGGGAGGCAGCTGGGTGGTTTCTTACAAAACGAACAGGCTCACGTGGTCTAGCAACCACGCCCCTTGGCCTTTACCGGAGGAGTCGGCAGCTCCGCCCACACAAAAATCTGCACATAGACATTTTTAGTAGTTTTATTCACAACTGCCAAACTCGGAAGCAACTAGGATGGCCTTCAGTGGGTGGATGGATAAACTGCGGTCCATCCGGACAATAAAACGTTACTCAGCACTACAAAGAGAGGAGCCATCAGCTCACAAGAAGACGCGGAGGAACTTGACCGCACTGGACTGAGCGAGAGACGCCAACCTGCAAAGACCACTCGCTGTGACTCCAGCTCTGGGACACTCTGGGACAGGCTGAGGCATGGACACCGTGAGGGGCTGGGGCCGGCCAGGGACTGGGGGTGGGGGCAGGCTGAGCAGGGCCGTGCAAGTGCTCCGTGTGATGCCGTGAGGGCGGACACGTGCGTCACCCGTTCGTCCAGGCCCCAAAACGTGCCACCCCGAGAGCCGCCCTGGGGTGGACTGCGGACCCGGGGTGGCGGCCATGTGCCCAAGTGAATCCATTCATTGTAAGCCTCATGCTATTCTGGTGGGGCCATCGGCAACAGGGGAGGCAGGGCATGTGGAGGGGGGGCGGCACGGGAATCTGTGCTTTCCTCTCGACTCCACTGTGCCACTGTGCCCCCGACGCCGCTCTGAGAAGTGCAGGCCTTTAAAGAGAGACCGCTCGGGACTGGGGCCAGCACGGGGAAGGAGGGGCAGCAGCTGCTCTCGTCACCTTGTCTGAGTTTGCACACCGCGCCCACCAACGCCACACCATGTACACACGGGTGAACACTCACACGCTATGCACGCACACTCGGTTACATGTATACCCGTGTGCACACTCAGACGTGTGTGTGCATGCTTACATGTGTGTCTCCACACCGACACATGTCTGCATGTGCACACGGGTGTGTGCGTTTGCACACTTGCTTTCCGAACATTTGTGCAAGCACATGGGCACACAGATGTACCCTGTACTGTGCACACTCACAGATACACGCTTGCCTGTACAGGCATGTGTTCCTGTGTGTGCATCTGTGTGCACAGATGCACTTGTTCATTCATGCATGTGTGTGCACACGTTTTGTGCATGTCCCCTGTGTGTCCCTTCACACTGTCCCCACACCAGCCCCCACACTGTCCCCCTGGTGCGTGGGGACCTTGCAGCCCAGCCACCCCACCAATGTTGGAGCCAGCCAGTGCCAGCCATGAACAGGAGCCCGAGCCTGGACTGGCAGAAGCTGCCTCTTGGGGCCCCCGTAGGGCCCGTGGGAGCCCCCTGCAGCAGCCTGGCCCACGGCTCGGACCGGGGGGCGTCCTCAGTCAGGAGTCAGGGTGACGCTCCATCCGGGGCACAGCACGGCTAGGCCCACCCCCTCCTCCTTGTAGTCTGATGCCCCCACCCTGAGCAGCTGAGGATCAGGGCCTCAGGACGAACCCCACCCCCTGACAGGACAACTAACTGCCTGCCCAACTCACCCAGAACACCCCCGCCTCAGTTTCCCCTCCACAGCGGCATGGGACTCACCCGCTGGGGGCTTCGCCGGGGCCCAGCTTACCTGAGGATGACATACATGACCAGGCAGTTCCCCAGCAGCCCCCCGACGCACACGGCCAGGTAGAGCCCCACGATGGTGACCTTGAGCCCGAGGGGCAGGAAGGCGCCGTGGCTGACGTTGAGCAGCAGGTCGGCCGGCAGCAGGCTGTGGTTGGGGCTGGAGAGGTTGTCCTGCAAGGCGCTGCCGTAGACGCCCCAGGGCGGGGTGGGGAAGAGGCAGTCCATGCTGCCACCCTGAGAGCGCAGCCGCTCGGCACCTGGGGGCACGGGGCACGTGAGCACCCCCCCCGGCCCCCCGCCGAGGCCTCCGGGTGGTGCGCGGCCCCCCAGGCGCCCGGGGTCCCGGAGGCACCTGCACACACACAGGGACACAGGGAGGCATGCAGACGTGGGGCGCTGACGGGCACACACCGAGCACGTGTGCACACACGTGCAGCATGTGTGCACATGCAGGGACGCACACCCAGCAGGTTCACGCATGCAGGGGCACAGAGAGCACATGTGCACACACAGGGACGCAGACCCTTACATGGGATGCGCGGGTGCAGCCACATGCTGGAACATGTGTCCACCCACAGGCACTAGAGCACACGCAGCTGCCGTGTGCTCACAGGGACATGTGTGTGCGCGCACACAGATGCCCAGACCTGCCAGCATGCACACACAGGCACAAAAGGGGCCAAGACATGCCCCAAAATACCTGGGGTGCAGGGCACCAGGCGGCCGCACTCAGCCTCCTCCTGCCCCTCCCTGCGAGCCGCAGGCTGGCTGCAGCTCACCCCCACACCTGCCCCCCACTCCCCCACCCCCGCCGGCTCAGGCCTCACCTGGGTGTCTCCGGGGGCAGCAGGGGCCGTGGAGACCCTAACCCAGGAGCAGAGCAGGCCGGGAGCCCCTGCCCCGCGCCAGCACCGGGTCCGGATGGGGCTGCAGCAGCCACGCGCAGTGGCAGCTGCTCCTCAGCAGACGCCAGACGAGACGCAGCAGCCTGGCGCACAGAGCGGGGGAGGGGCTGGGCTGCAGCTCCGGAGGGGGAGGGGCGTGCTGGCTGGAGGAGGGACGGGGCGAGGGGGGCACAGGGCCCCCCCCCGGGTGGGACAGACAGGAGGACCAGGGCGCGTGGTGAGAAGGGAAGGACAGACGGAGACCCTCGGAGCCCAGACAGAGACCGGCCGGGCGCAGACGCAGGAACGCAGACCTGCGGACAGACACACAGACACACGCAGGGACTCAGGGGGGCCGAGGGACAGGCACATGGGGCACACGGGACAGACACACGAGGACGGGGGACAGAGCAAGGGGGGATGCACACATAAACACAGCCTGGGACACGGACACGGGGCGCGTCTCGCCCGCAGAGGGGGCCTCGCACAGACCCAGACCAGCCCTGCCGGAGGCGCTGAGGGCCCCCAGCGCCGCGGGCCAGCAGGGGTGGCACACCCAGTGCCCTGCCTGGCCGGCCGGGAGGGGCCAGAGTCTTGCTGTCAGCCGGCAGGACCCCTGGACTCTGCCATGTACCCTGTGTGTACCTGCTGTGTGCCTGCACACGTGCTGTGTCCACGGTAGGCACAAGCATGAGCTCATCTGTCTGCACCCCGCCTGGGCCACCTTCGTGCAGACAGAGCACTCGGGCTCAGGGGTGTGAGGCCGCCTGTCGGAGTGGCAGACACAGGGCTGAACCCCGGTCTCCTGTCACTTCGAGACACCCCAGGAGGCCTGCCCCACAGTGGGGCCCAGAACAACGTCCGAGCACTGTTCCCTCACGGCCTGGGCCCTCAGCACCCTGGCAGCGGAACCGCCCCCAAGGAGAGGGTCCTGCCTCCACTGGGGTCACGTGCCATGGGGGGCGCCCCGCAGCGGAGTCAGCAGCCCCCCGTGCAGCCACGGGCCGTTCCTCCCGCCTCTGCCCACACATCGCAGACCCTGCTCTGAGCACCGTCTCCAAGGATGGGGCCTGGTTGCTAGGTGACGGACACGGCGTCGCTAGGATACCTGCGAATCAGGAGAGGACAGAGCAGGCGGATGCCCCAGGACTCAGCTCCAAAGCTGTCCCCCAGGACTTCTCTCCGCATCTTTATGGCAGCCTACTCAGGAACACGTGTGTGGACATGGGACATGTCTACAGAGACACAGGGACACACAGACTCGTGTGCCTGTGAACACAGAGATGCCCAAAGAGGCACATGGCAAAACACGCAGACACGGGCTCATCGGCAGGGATGCACAGACACACGTGTCGCACGCGCACAAGCCCATGAGGCACACGGGCAGACGCGAGAGAACAGGCGGGCGCAGAGGTCAGGGCCCTTGGCCCCTGGGCCCACACATGCACCACCGTCTCCAGGAGGAGCCTGAAGCTTGGGCCCACTGCCCTCGGGACCCCGAGAGGTGGGGCGCCCACCCGCACCCCCACCACCCCTGGCAGCCAACCCCTGTCGCTCCTGCCCCCAGGGGGTCTCTGTGCAAACGTCCGGGGCGGCTGGAGGCTGGGCAGTCCTTCCGTGGAACCTGGGTAGGACTGGTTCCGGAATCTGGGGGCAGAGACTTGTGGTTCACCCGCTCACCGGGAGGCCAGAGCAAGCTTCCAAAACCCACGGGAACAGTCCACAGACCCCTGCAGAGAGGCCAGAGCCTCAGCTGGACCCCTCTCCGGAGCCAGGACAGTGCCCACTCAGGGGCTCAGGCCCTGAACTCCCAAAAAGGCGCCGTCCAGGACCCCAGCGCCCACACTGCCCTCAGGACACACCCGCGAGTGAAGGGGGCAGTGACACAGGCACTGCGGAAGCCACCACCCACCGTGGGCGAGTCATCAGCTGACACGTGCAGTGGGCCGCCCGTGGGCTGCGGGATGAGCACACGAGTCTGTGACCCCCAGGGGGGACTGCGACCGCGGGCGTGCGGCGCAGAACAGGCCAAGGCCTGGACTGTCTGCTGAACAGCGTGGAGTTAGCGAGAACAGCACAGGTTTCAGAAACACAGGACCCAGAGGGCCAGGGCCCAGCAAGGCCCCGGGTCTGGTCTCGCGGGAGCCCTGGGAGCCCCGCCTCCCCCCGGGAGAGGACTGCAGTGGCCTCAGTCCCCCGGTCTGCGAACACCCGCGGCTGTGGGGGCAGGTCCCACAGAGGGAAAGGGCCTGGACAGGAAGGTCTCAGCGCTGCACCCCGCGCGTTCAAACGCAGTCGCCGAAGTCCTCCCCCGCCAGGAAGCTGGCGCACAGGCCCCGGAACAGTGCGCTTGGGGCTCCCAGAAGGGCAAGAAAAGCCACCTCCAGGGTCTTCCACCGGTTGTGGCCGCTGCGGGCTCCTCGTCCTGGGATGACCGCGGCCCCCGGCCCCGGGAGGGACCGGGTTGTGCCGGTGCCGCTCGCTCGCTCGCGCGTGGCTGCCCCGCCCCCGCAGGGTTGGGGGCGGGGCTCCCGGTTGCCGAGCAACCGCATCAACGGGTCACGGAAAGCAGGGGCTCAGTTGGAGTCTCAGACCCCAGAAAGCTGAAAGTATGGGGTGTGGGAAGGGCGTGGGAGGGTGGGGGCAGGACCTGGGCCCTCGGGGTATTTCCCTGTACCCCCTAGGGACCCTCCCCCCTCGATCCCCTGCCCCCTGGGCTCCGTTCGCCCTTCCTCCCTCCGGACCAGCTGGGGCTGGACGGGGAGGACGGGGTCTCCCCTGGAGCGGATCAGCTGTCCCCTTGGCTCTGAGCCTCTGGGGTCCAGGGGGGTGGGGACCTGCTGACTGACCAGTGAGCACAGACACAGGGAGCAGGGGCGACAGCGAGGGTCCTGCGTCGTGGGGGCAGTCCGCCGACCTCCAAGAGCGGCCTCATCTGGTCTCCATCCCCGCATGGGGCCTGTGGTCAACCCAGGGGTCTCAACATTTTCTTGGTGGACACAGAGACAGCCGCTGCGCAGGAAGGGAAGTCCCTGAAACTCCGAGGCTCAGAAAGTTCTAGCAGGCTGCGGGGCTGAGGTCGGGGCTGATGGGGACGCCCCCCAGAGGGGACGCTAGGCTTGAGCAAAGGGGCCGTGGCTGGAGGTGTGGGACCTTAGGGGGCTGTGGGGCGTCTCGACAGGCCAAGCCAGGCCAGAGGGGTGGGCACCATTCGGGCACCAACGAGGGGGCGCCCTCTCCCCTTGGCAAGGCCAAGGATGCAGCCCTCGCCGGCGCCAAGGGAGGCCGAGCACGGAGCACCGCGGGAGCGAGCCGGGAAGGACGCGCAGGACGCGGGGTCCCCTGAGAAGCGCGCCAAGGGGGCACCCGCAAGGGAGCACCCCAAACCGGGCTGGGCCCTGTCGCAGGAGGAGCTCGCGGCCATGACCCCCGCGCAGTGCCGCCGCCACCTGCTCTTCAGCGACTTGCTTGAGGACGTGGGCACGACCCCCCACATCCTCCCGCGCGAGTCGGTAGAGCTGGGGTACGGCATGCCGGACCCACTGGGGTGGGCGCAGTCGCTGGAGCCGCCGACGGCGCGCCAGGACCGGCTGCTCGGCGTCCTCAAGGCGGCCGAGGCCCGCGGACGACTCCGCGCCTTGCGGCTGCGCTACACCCGCATGCGGGTGAGCGGAGGGTGCGGGCGGCTGAGGGCGGGGGGCGGGGCGCGCAGCAGGCCTGCAGCGGGGACCTGCCCGAGAAAGGGAGTGGGGACCGGCTGGAGCCCCAACGGGAGGGGCGGGGCGGGTGGGGCCGGGTTCTCTGCGCGGAGGGCCGGGCGGGGCAGAGGTCTCCGAGGCTCAGAAAGTCCTCCGCGCCTCACGGCCACGCCGGACCCGCAGGCGGAGGAGATCTCGCTGCTCATCCAGCAGCAGAAGTCCGCGCGCGCCGCCATCCGGCTGGAGATGTTCCTGCCGCCGCAGCTGAGACCCACGCGCATCCCGGACTCCCTGGACCGCCAAGAGGTGCCTGCAAGCCCGGGCAGGGGGCGGAAAGGGGGTCCCGCCCGCCTCCCTGCGCACCTGGCCCCAGCCCCTCTCCTCCGCAGCGGCGGCGCGTGGAGACCATGCTGGAGGAGAAAATCGATGGCGGCAATCTCTGCGGTTACGGCAACCGCTTGCTGCGCGACCCTCCCGCATAAAGTTCTCACTCTCCAAACGCCTGCTGGTCTTTACGCTGGGCTCTGGGTCCCCCTGGAGGGAAGGGTGGGTACGGACGCTGCCTTTCCCGCATCGGAAGTCACAGACCCCGGGGTGCGCAGAGTGGGGCTCCCCCACCGAAGCAGGAAGGTGCGAGCGGGTGGATGTGGGGTTAACAGGGACAGGCACACCCTGAACCCCCCGCCAGGCAGCCTCTGCCCTGTGAGTCCACGGGGACCAGGAGAGGGGCGAGCCTGGCTCAGCAACTGCCACAGCCCGGGAGTCAGGACGGCCTCAGGGAAAAGGTGCCTCCCCAGAGGGACCCCGGCCTGCAGCTCATCCCGTCAGAGGCTCAGAGAGGGAAGTGGCAGCTCTGAAAGGAGGCCCCTGCCTCCCCTCTGGGGGGCCTCCTATGCCCCACTCCATCTCCCTCACCAGCGACCCCCCCACACACACCCAGGAGGAAGGAAACTAACCCTGCCCCCTTCGGAAAAACCCACTTCCTGCAAAGCTTCTGGATTCAGAAAGAGCCTCCCAGTTCCTTGACAGACCTTTGAGGAGACTCGTGCTGTTTGCTGAGCCTGGGGCGTACCCCAGCCACCGCTCCAGCCCCGACCAGCAGGCTGCAGTGGGGGCTGCAGGGACTCGGACAAGCCCCGCTGCAGCCAGAGTTCCTGCTGAGTGGGCCGGGGAGAAGCCCAGAGAGCAGGCTGGAGGGGGCATTCTTTACCCCCTGACATCAGAACTGCGGGGTCTGGCAAGGGACCCTGCTCAGTGGCAGTCACTGCCCCTCCAGACCTAGCTCAGGAGGGGGACAGCCGCAGGGGGCCCCAAGGAGCCCTCCTCCCACTGCGAGGGCCCTGCCCACTCTCCGGGCCATTGATGCCTGTGGCCTTGACCACACTCCGAACTGTGCGGGCCCCGCAGCTCCAGGAGGGCGGGAGATCCCCGGGCAGTGCTGGTGGCAGGGAGGTCGTCAGGTAGAGGAAGGGGGGCGGTGGCTTGGGCCAGGGGCAGGGACAGACACAGGGAGGCAGTCCCTGTCCAGAGGCGGCGGCCACTACCACCTTGACGTGCCCTGGGTGACAGGCAGCCCTGGCCCCGCTGGCCAAGCTCCCGTCAGCCCACACCCCAGTGCTCTGCCTCCTGGGGGTCCGTGGGCCTGGGATGACTTCGTCTGTTTAGTGAAAGTGCGTTTCATCTCCTCACGTCTCTGAGCCTCTGTTTCTTCCCGTCTCTGAAACGGAGTGTCAAGGGTCCCTCTCCCTTGGCACCCTGGCCCCGAGCAGTGATTGCTCCGTAAGGGAGGGGTCACGTGCATGAGGCAGTCCCCTGTGGACAGAGGGACAAGACGGCCATGAAGCCCAAGAAGACCAGCAGGAAGGTGGCCCCGCAGACGGCTGGCACACGGGGCACCCCTTGGTTCCCGTGCCAGGGAGCAGACCCTCGTTCTGCAGAGGAGACCAGGGACAGTGGCCAAGGGAAGGTGACGGGGCCTGGAGGCGGCTGCGCTGTGAGAGGGCAGAGGGCGTGGGTCACGGCTCAGCAGATGGGGGCGGGAGGGCTCAGCTGTGGCGCTGGGTCAGCAAGCGCATGCTCTGCACAGAGGATCCTGGGTTCAAGTCCCACCTGCACCACTACCTGCTGCATGGCCTCGAGTGAGTTCCTGCCCAGCCCCCCCGGGGTCCTCCCGTGGAATACAGGAACACCCCACAGAGACAGTCCCCGGGGGAGGAGCAGGCCACCCCGGAGGGCAGAGGCGAGGGGAATGGGGAGCAGGCCCAAGCGGCCAGAGGACACGGAGGCGTGGCCCGAGGAGGGGGCAGTGTGTGGACCCCTGCCCACAGTGGGCTGCCCCACGTGTTCCTTGGGAGGTGGGTGGCGACACCACACCGAGGGGCCAGCCGAGCTGTGTGACCTGGGTCAGGTGCTGGCCCGTCTCTGTAGGCCCGACCTCTGAGGACTGCTACCGGGGCCAAAGAGAGAGCAGCCACCTCCTCTCTGGACAGGCGTCCAGCCTCCGCCCTGTCCTGGCCAGCCTGTGCACGCGGTGGCCGCGCCCCCTGGGCCCCCGGCATCGAGAGGGACCCCGGCTCCAGGGCCCTGTCACTTCTGTCCTCGCCCCTCCCCCTCCTCCAGCACAGCCCGGCACACCCCGCTCCTCGCCTCGCACCCGGCCTGCGGTCCGCGTCTTGTCTGCTCCGGGGCTGGTCTGGCCGGCTCCCTGCGAGGCCCCACTGCCGGGCTCGCAGGGGACCCCCGGCCACTGGCTGGACAGACGAAGAGAGCGTGTGGAATGCCCACATCCCTTCGCATCTCGCAGAGTGCTGGGAGTCCCTTTGTGAGGTGAGCGGGACCCGGCATCCGGAGCTGCCCGAGCTGAGCACCTGCGCAGGGGATGGGAGCTGCCTGTGGTCCGAGAGACCAGGCCACCTCCAGACCTCGGTCAGGGCCGCCGTGGCACTGTCCGAAAGCCAGCTGGAGAAGGGACCAAACCGACAGCTGTACCGGGTCACGGAATAGGAGGCGAGCCAGCGTGAGAGTAGGGGCAGGACAACCGTGGCAAAGGGGAGGACGTGGCTTTAAACTGTAGGACCCCTTGGGGCAAGGGGAGGGGTCAAAAGGGACTCAGCCGGGTCCCATGAATAGGGACATTTGGTGACTTCAGATGCAAGAACCCACTCCCGCAGCATCCACCGCGCCGCAGCCCAGGTCCCCCGCCCCCGCTTTGGTGAGCTCCCCACAGCACGGAGACAGCGCGCTCCTAAACCCAGTACAAAGGCCAGGGCACCCGGCCTTGGAGACGCTGGGCACAGCAACCCCGGGGCAGTCCTCTACCGCGGCCTCTCCTTATCCAAGCGCGGCAAGTAGCATACGGGGACGCTGGAGTCTCGAGGGCTCTTGTGCCCCACACTGGACCGCCATATGAATAGCAAAGCCAGAATGCCCGGGCTGGGCACTGTCTGGTGGATGGCGGTGGCGGGTGGAGGGGGGGGGCAGCCACACCCCCAGCTGCTCCAGAGCTCGCTCAGGCCGCCCTGGGGCCAGAGCACCTCGCTTACCGCGGCCGGCCTAAGCGATGGTGGGGACCCAGGCGCCTAGCGGGACCGGGCTGGGTGGTGGGGAAGGGGAGAGCGGGAGGAGCGCGGGGCGGGGCGCGCCGAGCAGGGCGGGCCGGGCGCCTCCCGGCGCGAGGAAGTCCCTGCCCCGCGCTTTGGGGAAGTGCGGCTCAGGCGCCTGCGCACACCACCCTGAGCCCCGGCAGCGACGACCCGGCTGGACCTCCGAGCGCGGGCCCGCGCGCGCGGCGGCGCGAGCAGCTCGGGGACGCGGCCGGTGAGTGCGCGCGCGAGCGAGCACGCGACGCGGAGGACCTTGGCCCAGCCCCTCCCGGCCCGGGGAGGTGCAGAGCGGGAGCCTCGCGAGCAGGCTCCGGGATCCGCACCCCAAGAACTCCCGCCGTGGGGTCCACGTGGACCCTGGGCCGCCGTGGGACTGCAGCCTGCCTCCCCCCCCGCGCGTGGGGGAAGGGGCGCTGCAACCGGGTTCCCCTTTTCTACAGCTCAGCCTGGGGAAGTGATTGCTCAAAGGGGGGGCCGGAAGAACTCAGGTTTCCGCGACTCCCGCCCCCCTCAGCCCGGTGGGGAGGGGCCGAAGTGGGACACCCGGTCCGCCGCGCTCCGTTGGATGCGGCAGCCTCTCAGCCCCGCGAGTCGTAGGGGAGGCGCTGCGACCCCCGCCCCGGCTGATCGGGCCGGCGCCAGCCTCCCAAGCCTCGGGAGAACCTCCTGCTGTCCGACCGGAGTCCCCGCTGCTGCAGTGCACGCCCCTTCGGCAACCGGGGTGGGGCCCCCACCGAACCTGGCCCCTCCTGCCCCCACCTCGCCTTTGGGTCGCTGGTGAGTGGGACGTCACGGCAAGTTGCCTGAGGTAGTGGTGGGGGTGTCAGAGACTGGAGAAAAGGGCCCCTGCACAAGGAGGCAAGCTCCTCCAGGCCAGAACCTAGCAGAAGAAAGGGAGCGAGAAATGATCCCCCCCCACCCCACACACACACATCGTTGCAAAGGTGAGCTGGGGGCGAGGGCGCCGAGGTTGGGAGAACTGGCCTGCCTTGGAGTAGACGGGCTGGGGCTCAGCCAACAGCCAAGTGGGGGGCGGGGACCCCAAACAGGAAAGGTGCTCAGCAGGGTCAAGAGGGAGCAGCCCCTCTGTCAGCCGCCCCCCCGCCCTCCAACAGCCCCGCATTTTCTCCCCAGGACGGCCACACGTCCTCATTCTTTTTTTGGAGCGGGCAGGCGTGGGGACGTTCTTTTTCCTTCTGTGGAGCCGAGCAGCAGCGGCTCCCAAGGGAGCCAGAGTCTCCAGAGGCTGGACTTTCTGCCTGTCCAGCCTCTCCCATCCCAGACTTGCGGGTGGCCAAGCGTGGGGCTGGGGAAGAGGAAGGAGGCCCCTCCAAACACGGGGATGAGGGGCAGGAACCCCAGTTCACACCCTGTACCCGCCCCGGGGAGGCAGCCATTGCCCTGGGGGCACAGGTGGCCCCAAGCAGCCTGAGTCAGGCGAGTCAGGTCCAGGGCCTGCGACCCGGACAGTGGGGACTGGTCCCCCCTCTGCCCCAACCCTGGACCCCAGCGCCCGGGCCCTGAGCCCTCAGACAGGGCGGGCCCTCCACTGCAGAGGGGAGTTGGAGGTGGCAGCCCAGGTGGGTACGGTCTCCAGGTGCTGGGAGGTGGGGGGCAGGACTCGGTCCCTTCCCCCCCTCACAGTGGGGGGTGCAGAGGAGGAAGAGGGCTCTGCCTGGGGAAGTCGCAGCAGCCCGGGGCGCAGCTAGAGACCTCAGAGGCTGCCACACCCCTTCCTTTCCCTAGAAACTTGACCCCTGAGGGAAGGCTGCGGGGCTGCTGCTTCCCCATCTGCCTGCCTGAGCCCGTGGGACCAAGTCTGGGGTCCCCCTCCGTGATCTCAAGGTGGCGAAGGGCTGGGGTCCCAGGGGACTCCCACA